TTGAAGAACCTCCATACTGTTTCCCAGAGTGGCTGCACCAGTTTACATTCCCTCCAGCATTGTAAGTGCGGTGTGGGGAGCAGGGGTTGTTTCAGTTGGCATCCTGAGAATAACTAGAGATGTTAGGAATGGAATTCAGCATTGGAGAATCTACTCCATATGAAAGCTAACCTCGAAAAGGGCTCCATTAGTATTCATGCCCTCATGTGGCACCTGCCTACTAAATCAGGGCTGTCCTATATGACCAGGAGATTGTGGGGAAAGTGACAGGGTGTGACTTTTAAAGCTAAGTCACAAAAGGTATTGCAAGGATCATCCACTCTAGGGGAAGCCAGACCCCATGATGTGAGGATTCTTAGGCAATCCTGTAGGGAGGCCCTCACGTTAGGGTAGCCAGATTTAGCAAATAAAAATATAATTGGGGGGCACCTGGGTGGCTTAGTTGGTTAAGCATCTGCCTTGGGCTCAGGTCATGATCCTAGAGTCCTGGGATCAAGCCCCACGTCGGCTCTCTGCTCAGCAGGGAGCCTGCTTCTCCCTCTCCTTCTGCCTGCCTCTCTTTCTCTGTCAAATAAATAAAATCTTAAAATATATACATAATTTGGGACATAGCTATACTAAAATCTGTCTTTATTTATTTGAAATTCAAATTTAATGGCATATCCTGTATTTATATGGCAACCCTACCTCATGGAAATGAATGAAGGTGCTCCCCCATCAACAGCCAGCCCCCAACTGGTGGCCATGTGAGTGAATCATCTTAGAAGTGGACCTCCAGCTCCAGTCAAGCCTGTGGATGATGTAGTGAAGGCTGAAACCTTGATGGAAACTTCTTGAGAGACTTCCAAGTCAGAACCACCCAGCTAAACCACTCCCAAATTCCTGGTCCACAGAGACTGTGAGAGATAATAATAAATGATTATATTGTCTGAGGTCCCTAAGTTTTGGAGTGATTTGTTTTATGACATTAGATAAATAATCCATTCCATAAAACTTTATCTAGCCTGTCTTAGTCCATTCAGGCTACTGTCACAGAATGTCATAGACTGACTGCCTTATGAACAACAGAAATTTACTTTCTCGGAGTCCTGGAGACCGGGAACTCTAAGATCAAGACACCGGCAGAGTCAGTGTCTGGTGAGAGCCTGCTTCCGGGTTCAGAGATGGCTGTCTTTCCATTGTGTCCTCACATGGTGGAAGGGGCAATGGAGCTCTCCGGGGTGTAGTTTATAAGGGCTCTAATCCCATTCATGAGGGCTCTGCTCTCGCGATCTAATTACCTCCCCCCAACCCTGCCTCTAGATACCACCACACTGGAGGTTAGGAATCAACATATGAATCTGGGGAAAGGGGGACACAAACATTCAGCTATGGCAGAGCCCTTCCTCAGTGCCAGGGACAGTGTCCCTGAAGATGACTAAGGCAGAGTTTCTGGCCTTGAGTTGCTCAGAGTCAGGTGGGGAAGACAAACGTGGACAGGATTTGTTTACACGATACCGTGATAAAGGTAAAACAAACAGCCTTCAGGACAGTGTGACTCATTCTGTCAGGGTTATCAGGGAGGTTATCCAAAGACATGAGTTTTGAGGTCAATCCTTCAGGAAATCCTAGTTCCCCAGGCAGGTGGGAGAAGGGTAAGGAAGCCAGATGGTCCTTCTGGGCAGAGAGAACAGGGAATTATAGGAAGTTCATTTCAGGGAAACACAGAGGGTATGAATGGGAGCCCCGACATCGAGGCTACAGCAGGAGGCAGTGCCAGACTGTCAGAGTCCAATACTGTTCCCGGAGGGAGACCGGATTCGTGGGTGGTCTATTAGGGGGCTGTTGTCATGGACCGATACAAGACAGTGATGTTCTGGGCTTGGGCAGTAACCCCAGGATGGAGAGGGAACAGGCTGGAACTGACAGCGCTTGTTTGCCTGGTGCCTGGCAATAGCAACTGCTCAGCCAAGTTGTTTGTTGAGGGACTGACAGATGGGTGTGTGGGGGCAGACGCAAGCAGGGCTGTCTGTGTCTTGATTTGAGTGACTGTGGCTGGCTATTCCCTGAAATAGGAACCAGACATGGATTTTTGCATCATGCATGTGGGGCTGTAAACCATGAAGTTCAAATAACTGTATCCTTGGGGTTTGAAACCTCTCTTCCAACCAGAAGGCGTCACGTGTGACTCTGGCTGTGGCCCCCGATGTTTTCCACGGGGACCCGACTAGGATGGCACATAGGAGCTCAGCAGAGCTGCAGCCCCCTAGGAGTGTCTCATCCTTTTGCAGCTCAAGTGTTGGGCAGACCGGATGTCATTAGAGGGCTCAGGTACTTGGTGGGAGGAAGGGACAAGGGGGACACTGAGGTTGAATTCACAGTTCTTACCAAGGTTGTTTCATTCCTGCTGAAGTGTGATTGGTTATGAGAAGTAAATTTCCTTTTAAAAGGGCTGGGTGCGTGTGTGTGTGCACATGCATGCAGGTGCAATTTTGGGTCGAGCAGGGCTTGACACAGAGGGTAACGGGATCTTCACCTTAGAAGCCTGGCAATTAATTCTGTACAGAGTGAACCAAGACACAACAGAGAACGAGACAGAAATTTCATGGAGTTATCCTCCAAACAAAAGGAAACTAACGTTTATGAGACATTTTTGAGGGAGGCGCCTGGCTGGCTCTGTCAAAAGAGTATGCAAATCTTGATCTCCAGGTCATGAGTTCGAGCCCCACGTTGGGTGTAGAGATAACTAAAAAAAAAATAAACTTAAAAAAGTAAATTAATAAAATGTGGGAATAAAAAAAAAAACGTTCCTCAGAGCTATCCATACATCTCATTTAATCCTCATAGTAATTCCCAAATTAGGGATGAGTATCTCCATTTCTCAAGGTTACACAACGTAGAAATGATTGAACTGAAATCTGTGAACCTAGGGTTCCAACTCCATGGCCTCAATGTTGTCATGATTCCTCAAGGATGGGCTTTTCAAGGATTTAGAAGCCCCTTCCTTCCTCTTCCATCCACAGCCAGAGACCTTCCTGGTCAAGGAGGCCATCTCTTTATGCCCCTGAGCCGATGTGGTTGGTCAGGCTGGGACACAAGGGAAGCCAGATGGCTGGAGGGAGGACCCGAGCTGGAACATTTTCATGCATAAGTCCCTTTCCTTTCCCCTCAGCAAGGCCTTGGGGGGAGCAGCCTCCTAGAGGTTAGTACCTTTGCCTGGATTTCCTTATGGAGACTCTTTCATGTGTTGGGCATTGCTTCAGAGCTCCAGAGTTACAATAACCAGCATTTATTGAGCCATTACTATTTGCTAGACTCTCACAAACAAGATACCTGCATCATCCCGCTAAGGTTCCGAGGTTGTTACCTTTGATTCCTCTCTTTGACAGATCAGGCAACAAGGCTGAAAGAGATGGAAGACTGTCTCAGAGCCCGAACTTGAACGTGCCGCAGCCTGAACCCAGCACCCAAGCTCTTAAGCACCGAACTCGGCGGCCCCAGAGGGAAAGAGAAATGGGCCATTCTTTCTGGGGCAGAATGGTCCCTCCTCCGATTCTTTTCTTGGTTTTCCCAGAAGAGAGCAGACCCAGTGCCCACAAGCAGTGGTGCCAAATGCTTACAGAGAGAGAAACAGCTCCCTGTGAGTGCTGGGCTCTGTAACCTCCTGTGGGCCTGTCCCTTGTCTGTCTGGGCTCCGCCCTCTCTGAGCAGTGTGGGCGGGGTTGACTTCTGCAGGCTGGAAGTGTGTGTGTGTGTGTGTGTGTGGCAGGAGTCACCACGCCTTCCCTCCACCTACCCTTCATGCCAGCTGCCCTGCCTCTTTGGGGTACCAGAGGGCTCCCTGAGCCTTTGCACACTGGCAGTCATGTGGCCCACTGCCGTTTCCTTTTCTTCAGGAGCATTCGCTGAGTTTTGCCAAGAGGTGAGAAATCTCAGGGGCCCAGAATGGTGACCAGCTTTCCTCAGGTCACAGAGCATGACCAACAGTAACGCCTGGGAGTTTTACACCTCCTTTTCCCGTTTCCAGGTCAGCCAATAGCCCTGTGTCTTTCTTCCATGAGAGACCACTCACCCCAAGCCCCACAGTGCCTTGTTCCCTGGAACAAAGCCTCACCCCCTAAATAGCCTTGTTACCTTGCCCTGCCTTCAGGCCAATGCAGATTAGTAAGGCCTAGCAAGTGTTTCTGCTGGGGGATTTTCCAGCCCTCAAGCCTGTCGCCCTGACCCTCCAGGAGGTGAGACCCCTCCCTAGCCCCTGCGTCTGGCATGGAGTACATGGTCACCTCAGCCAGGGAAATGGCTGTGGCTCAAGAGTCTGGGAGTCCACTCGAGTTCCCCTCCTGGGACACCCGCCTGACTCCAGCCAAGGGCAGGAACAAAGGCCCTGGTCTGCTTTCATTCCACACAAGCCTGAGCCTCAGTGCGAGGCATTAAAAGCCTGGGTCTTTGATGGATTGAAACAGTTCCTCTGTAATCACAGCCTCTTGGCTCTATTTTTACAATCCTGCTTCGGATCTCTTGGAGGCAAGGCTCTCCTGGGAGTTTGCTGAGTCAGATAGTCCCCAAGAGAACCCAGGGAGAGGCTTGCCAGACAAAGCCACCAGTGAGGCCCTTCCTAGTGGGCCCTGTGGTCACCCACACCTCCTCCACGCTTCCTGGAGACATGGGGGGAAGTGGCGGGCAGCTCTGGGACCTCCCGGGGCCACAGTCAAAGACCCTTCAGTGACTCTAGATTCAGCTAACTCCACATGTTGGGGCCTGGAGGGTCTCCTGAGGACCCCAAGTAGCTGGTACAAAGCCCTGCTTTAACACGTGAAGCCACTGAGGCCGGGACAGAGCCCAGCTCTCCCCTGGCCAGGGCGACCCTTCCTGCCTCCCAGCGCCCCATGCAGGAGGCTCACAGTGGTTCCACAGCATCTCCTTCCTCTTTCCCTCAGCTCCAATTTCCCTTGTTATTTTATTTTATTTATTTATTTTTTTGTAAGGAGATTGATGTGGAGCCAAACTCTGTTGGCTACGTTTAATTGTGTTTTATTCATGTGGAAAGCCACCCTGGCTGTGTATCCTGGAGAAGAATTCTGGGCTTGGTCCTGTTAGCAGCCACTTTCTGGACTTCTGAAGGAGCAGGGCCTTGGCCCTTGAGCCCTAGCGTGCAGGGGTGAGTAGTCCTCAGGGTGTTGGCTAAATTTTCTGAGGCTCAAAGGTTCATAGGTCTAAATCAGGGAGAAGGGATTTGGGACGGTCTCAGAGCAGGGGAGTCCCCAGGCCACGGGGCACCCATCCCATCCCATCCCAGAGGGCGTAATCGCTTCTGCCTGGTGTAAGGGGAAGGTTTAACTGAAGCGAACCATCAGGTTGGTGTGAACGGCTCACAGATCACAACAGGAAGTACATTACACCGTTGGGAACAAATGCTGTGGAAATTTTCTTCACAGAAAAGGGAGGGAGAATGTTACGTCCTGCCAGACATTTGTACCAAATGGTTAGATGTGGAAATAATTAGCTCATTTATTTTTCTTTCAAGTTTCAAGGTTTGAATTTGTTTGTTTTCCATTTATTTTAATATAATTCTCTTTAGTATAATGGTGTGGTATGTATATATAAATGGGTCACAAGCCTGCAGACTAGAAGAAGAGCCTCCCCTTAGCCGTTTTTCTTTTATTCTGCAACCAGCAGGCAGCGATGTGTCCGACTGAGCCTTGTGATTGTTGGGCCTCCCTCCAGAAGCTCGTCACAGCCCTCCCTGCCAAGGGACTATGATCCTTTCTCAGACACTCTCGATGCCATTTTCAGCCAAACATATTGAATTTGCACTATTTTTTGCACAATTGTTGTTTCATTTAGCATCTTCCCAAGGGGGATGAGGGAAAAAAATGGTTGTTAACTAATTTATTTGCTTATTTTAATTTAATTTCTTTATTTCTCTTTTGCTTTGTGTTCTACCAAAAACAGAGCCTAAGACAAGGACCTGTAGAAGGATGCCTGCAGTTTTTTTGCAAGGTAACTCCAGGAAGTAACAAGGAAATGGGGGGAGTGAGATAAGAGGAAGAAGAAAAGCTGGTAAGTGGTGAGTTGTTGTTTTTTTTTTTTTTTAGATTTTGTTTATTTGTTTATTTGAGAGAGAAGAAGTGAAGGGAAGACACAGAGGGAGAGGAAGAAGCAGGCTCCCCACTGAGCAGAGAGCCAGATGCGGGGCTCTATCCCAGGACCTTGGGACCATGACCTGAGCTGAAGACAGATTCTTAGCTGACTGAGCCACCCAGACACCCCAGTGGTGAGTTCTTAAAACAAATAAAAACTGGTTATTTCCGTGGGCACCTGAGCACAATTTTTCAGCGGGGAGGGGTCCCTAAGGAATAGTGTAGAATGCACCTCAAAAGAGTCCACTTGGCCAACAGGAAGCTCAGGCATTTTTATTCTAATTCCCATCCTCCTTTGATAGAGGCCCAACCCTCTGCGCCATGCTCATGTGGGGCTTTGAAGAAGCTCTGAGGCAGAAAAATCGAGAAGTTCAGTGAGTAGGGTTGCTGTTGCATTAAGTCCATTGTAGCTACAAGCTGAAGTTGGAGAGTGTGAACACAGCTGCTACAATTCTTCGCATTCAAAAGAAAAAGAAAACAGATTTTCAGTGGTGTACAAAAATACCTATAGTTCAAGACATAAAAGATGTGAAGAAATTTGGCAATGAAGGGAGAAAAAAAATAGAACACATTTTCCCTCAGGTCTTCCTAGCAACCAATTCGAGGAGGGAAACTCATCAGTTATACAATTCACAGTGTCCATGAGTCAAGCAAATCTCAGGCAAAGTTAGCCTTCCTCCATGGTCCTTGGAAGAAAGGCAGGGCACACAAAGGTGATGCTGACACTCCAACGGTGAATGCAGTGGCCGATCTTCTCTCTGTATAGTCTAATGGATGAAGAGTCTACCCTCAAAACAACAAAGAGCATAATATTCAGGAACACATTGTTTAGAAAGGATTTTTTCAAATAAGTGACAGGAACCCAGCTTAAAATTAACCTTAGTGGCTAGTGGCATTTGTTGGGTTGTGGAGTCATGGAGTGGACTGACTTCAGGCAAACCTGGATCCAGGCACTCAGCTTTTCATCATAACTCACTCTCTGTCTATCAGTTCCTTGGTTCTACTTTCCTCAGCATGGCTTCATTTTCCAGATGTTCTCTTTCTGTGGGTGGCAAGATGGTCCTTGGTCGTTCCAGGCTTACATGGCCTTCGAGAAGCTCACTCTCCCAGCATCCATATATGAAATCTCATTAAAGGATTCCAATTGACCCTGCTTGAGGCCCAGGTGGACCCCTTGAACATTTAATGACCATAAGAGGGATATGATCGGCCTGGCCTGACCGTGTGCCCACCTTTGCAGCCAGAAGACAGGCAGGTTTCTGTGATCCACAGACCCTTCCATCACAGTCATGCAGGATGGCAAAAAGAAAGTTGAACAGGCCAATGCAGCAAATCCACCGTGCCCACGATAACTTCTCAGAGTCCAGGTTGACCTCAATATTCTAGGGGAAAGAGTGACATGATATGGTTCTCACCACACATCATGACGGGGGATGATTTTTGAAATGGTCCAGGTGATAAAATAACAAACTTCCTGCTTGCTTATGAAAATGGATGAAATCCCCATCTAGTAAGAAGAGGGGTATAGCTGAACCGTTGATGCCCCATACATAGCCCCTTGGTGTTACCATTCCCATCCTTGTTGACAGTCTTGCAATTATTCTGAGGGCTATCTCTCACCACAGGATTGTGTTTGACTTGTTCATGGACAGTGTAAGTAGTTAATGTCCCCAGGAACATAAATCAACAAATTGGGAGTTGAAAGATGAATGCCCCATCTCAACGACACCAAAGCATGGTCTACACTGTCTCCCGGAAGACCCTAGTGGATTGAGCCACAGTTGATTATAGCTGTAATCAATGCTTCCTACATTGGCTTCCTTCCCTTCTCTCTCACCTGCTCACCCCAAACTGGTGCTTCCTGGGATCGCCTCCTATATAAACTACTTGTATTAAAATCCTTTTTTCTGGATCTGCTTCCAGAGGAACCCAGCATCAGCATGAGTACTCTTATTTATTTCCCTCATTGCCAGGATCATTAATTTCTCTCCCCCACCCACTCCCAGTTCTCCAAGATTAACAAAATACACACTCTGATTTGGCGGCTTTGTGTTGTCTGTTTAGAGATGAACTAGGTCACCCAAAGGTAGGAAGAGGTCAAGATGATCCTTCTTAGATTTGGAAATGGCCAGCAGGAACAGATTCCTGAAAGAGGGAAAGATGGACTGCCTTTAGCAAACATACCTCCCATTACAGCTCGAGGTCTTTTTCTGCTCCATGTCCAATTATAGCAGCAAGACTTATTGCTCAGCTTTAAACTGCTATCGGTTGTTTTAGAGACAGCACAGCCAAAGAAAGAGTGGACGCCAGCCCTCAGCAAAGGTTTGCAACCTGGATTCCCAGCCGACAGACCACATCGACACTCTGTTCCTGAAGGCACAGGGAAAGGAGGGTTTGTAATAATTTCCAATGGAGTCCAGACAGGTTACATTATGAGAATGAAGATAACTCCCCTGCCTGGAATATATGGATTTATTTGGAGGCATACCTCTGTCTGGTTGAAGTAGGACCTTCATTTAAATGTAAATGTGGGTTTTCAATGTGTTCCTAGAGAAAGGAAAATACTGAAGCTGCTGACATCCAGGACCTGGGGGAAGGTGCTCAGGGTGGCTTCTGTGAACTCAGGGGGAGAAGGGGCACTAGGGGCAAGAGGTGGAAAAGATAAATAAAATGGAAATGCAAAAGGAGCAGATAAACCGAGGACTGGACAACAAGATGAGTTACTATGGGACAGAGAGGCTGCAGGAGCCTAAGGGGAGTTCCCAGGCTGACTAGAACAGCATTGTCTGGTAGAATGTCCTGTGATGACAATGTTCTCAGTATTGTTCTGCTCACAAGTGGCTGTGGAGCACTTAAAATGTGTTCCTGATGAACTGAAGTTTTAATGTTATTTAATTATAATTAATTTAAATCTGAACAACCATAGATGCCTAGAGGCCATATTGGACAGCAGAGGACTAGAAGCTTATAGTTTAGGGAGGACTTGAAAACAGATTGTTGTCCACTCTGAGATAATAGGCCTGGTGATTCTCCATGTAGCTGGAAGGGGGCAGATCAGAATTACTTGGAAGGCATTTTCAAACAGCACATTTGCACTGTTACTCTGGTAAGTACCACCTCCCACCACAGGAGGAAGGGCCCTGCACAATTCTGTGGTGAGCCACCATTATCTAAGACAGTGGGTGTCCCTCAAGGTATGAGAGCAGGAAAAAAAAAAAAAAAAAAGGTTGAGAACTCCTAGCCTACTGGGCCAGAAAAATGGAAGTTTCCCTACCCTTATCTGTCCCCCAGGGACTGGGAAGAAGTAATCTTATTTAGAGCTGATCTTGGTCTGCAGGATTCTTAATGATCAATTTCAGTTTTCTGTAATCTTTAAGACAGATGTGAAGCTGTATGTATTCATCCTGTTTACATTGAAGGCCTACTGTGTGCTTAGCTCTGTGTTAGGCACATGGCTTATCATGGAAGGGGTGGGGAGGTAGGGAGGCTAGCCATCTGGCTCCAGCCACACATTCATGAAGGTCCTCAAAATGACACTTATGATTTAATCTTATTTATAAATCCAGGAATTCTTCTGGGAATGCACCATCAATTTCATTTTTATTTCCATGAGTTAACATAATCTGGTAAATATAAACACTGAGATTTTATCAAAATATCTGTGAACCCCAACTGGACATTTCTTCTCATCTTGGCCAGACTTGGGTGATCTTAGGTGGGCTCACTCATATACCTGTGGTCAGCTGGTGGATTGCCTGGGGCAGACTGCTCATCTTGGCTGTGCTCCCTTATATGTCTGGTACCTATGCTGGGACAACTGGGTTGACTCTGCCCCATGTTGTCTCTCATCATCCAGTTGGCTAGCCTGCACTTGTTCCCATGGCAGAAGCCAGGGGCCCCAGGGCGCAAGCAGAAGCACACAAGGTCTCTTGAGGTCTAGGCTTGAAACTCCCACATATTACTTTTGCTACGTTGTATTAGTCAAAGAAAGTCATGTGGCCAGCTCAGGTTTTAGGAGTGGGGGAATAATTCTACTTCTTGATTGGAAAAGCAGCTAAGTCACACTGGAGAGGGGCATGGATATGAAGAGGGGAATAATTGTGGACTTTCTATGCAACAGTTTATACATAAGGCTCAGCGGCGCTCATTCAAATGGGAGTTGAAGGTGATCTAGGGGAGTGGTAATATTTGAAGTTTTCATAAGAAATTTGCATTCAGAAGAGAGACAGATACCTTTGTGCAGAAATGTACATCTTAGCTGGGAAGGAAAGCAAGTACATGTGACAAACACATTGCCATTGACCCTACCCTCATCAAGAGAGCACACATGGGAGATTTCCTTGATAGAAGGGAGGGTTTAAGCTAATCCAGCCTTGCATTTCTTCCTGTCTCCTTTTTGAGCACCGGTACAAATTTAGATTTTTGCAAGACAGCTGGCTATGGTTTAGATTTTCCTAGACAACTTTGGCATAGAAAGAAATTGATAATATATTTGGAAACTACAGTCTCCTAAAGTCCTAGAGACTTAGCTTTTGTTAATTTCTTCTTGTTTTAATGATTTTCTGGTTGCTCCCATTCGCATCATTATATCTATGTGTTTTTGTTTTATTAAATTTTCAGCGCATCGGTGTTCCTTTTTTGTGTATCGATAGGATATACATAAATAAATTAAAGTAATATTAAGAAAGTTGAGTAGGTATGGTAGAGTAAGGTAATGGTGGTGACAAAGTTGAAAAGAAGGGCTTATGTTTAATTCGATTAGAAATAGAGAGCTGGGTGTGCTCAGCAGAAGTGACCTACAGTCAGTGTCTTTGATACTTGGCACACTGTAGCCCTCTGTGACCTCCAGTTGCCTTCTCCAGCTGCGGAGTGACAATCCGTTGCTCAGTTGGCTCACAGGCACTGTCTCTTCAATTTCTTACAGAGAAAGCATCTCTAAAGTGAGGAGTTCTCCTTTGAGCGAGGCACCTTAAAGAAACAGAAGGGAATGGCCCTGGCTGATCTCTGAGTTTTGAATGACATCAACTCTACCCAGATTACTGGGGAAATAGCAGAACTATTTCCTCAGCAGGTTTTAAGGGAATTTGTTTAGACAGATCCAGGAAATACAATTTGATAACTCGGGATTTATTTCATCCTCCACTGTCAAATTGGAATCTTTCCTAGAGCGAGAAACGCAGTCAAGAATTGCAGTGTGAGTTAAAATATATAACTGCACAGGACGGAATAATTGACTTCATTTCTCATTGGCTGTCAGGGAGCAGGTGCTCTGATGCTGGAGAAAGAAGAGAACAGAGGGCAGAGGAACCCCTTGTCAGTCCCTCTCACACTGTGTTCGGGATCTGAGCTTACACTGGCTGAGGGAGACTCTCTCTGATACAGCCTACAGAAGCATTTTGTTTTTATATCACTAGACCCTTGCTTTTAGGTGAGACCCATGAACCAACAATAGTAGCATCATTAGGAAGCTTATTAGAAATGCAGACGTTGGACCCCACCTTATACTTGCTGAATCAGAATTCACCTTTTAATGAGATGCTCTGGTGGTGAGCACACACATTAAAGTTTGAGAAGCCCTGGTCTAAAGAAATCTCTTTGATAATTAGAGACAGAGCCTATTCTAGAATGAGTTTGGGCTTGACTCGGGTTTGAGGAATGGCACTGCCAGTCACTAGCTCCATAACCTTGAACATCTTTCTTTGTTCTGGACACTGAAGCAGGCAGTAGGATGCCTTAGCAAGTGAAAAGTAACCCTTCTATTCAAGGAGCTTATAATCAGGAAGTAAATGGATCATTGGAAGTCATCATAATGAATTTCATGATAAGAGAAAAAGTCAAATGTTATGGAAACAGAGATAAAAGGCATGTAGCCCAGTCTTAAGGGCAGAGATGGCTTTCCAGAAATGATATTTAAGCTGAAGCCTGACTGGGGAGCTGTAATTTTTCTGTTAAGGAGTATGATAGGGGGTGGCGAGGGGAGCGATGCACATTTAGCAGTGATTGGAACAGAAGCCGCATTGACAGTTGAACAAATGGGAGGTGAGGAAGGGGAAAGCATTTATTATAGTCAAGGCTTTTTAAATGTTTGCTCTGAGGATTAGCTAGAGAAAACATGGGTTGTGGAAGGATTATTTTTTTCACATGGAAGAAATCTGATGAAAAAGAACCAGGTGGAATAGAGAAGAGATCATTGAGGGAGGAGATCCCAGAGATTGGAAGAGGAGAGACCCAGAATCAGGGGTTAGGACTGGTCTCAGGCAGGAGAGGAATTCCTTCCTTTCAACTAGAAGGAGGGAGAAGAAGATGAGAGCAGATGCAGGTGTGTTTGTAACTTCAGTAGCAGGAAGTCAAAGGAGAGTCCCTCTCAGATGCATTCCATCTTCTATAAGTAAGAACATTTGCCAAGAGGGAAGAGGTCTGAGGAGAGTAGAAAGAGACTGAAACAGACACTGTGAAAAAGAGAGAAGGGCTGTTTCAGGGCACGCAGAGATCTCTCTGGGTCCCTCTGATGATGGAGAACTTGCTGTGGTACCAGTTTGTGTAGTGGAATGGTTTTCTTTAAAAGTGATCTGCAGCATAAATATAGGCTAAGACCCTAAGACTGATATAAAGGGTTTTTTGGTTTTTGTTTTTTCCAGGTGTGTGATGAAAAGACAATGGTACAGGAGTTGAGGATTCTGGCGAGAAAATAACGACCATGGTATGAGAGAAATCAGTCATTCTATTCCCTCCTACATCCCTTCTGGTGGACGTATTGGTCTTTATGGGCTGGCTTGGGCCCCCCAGTTGAAATGCTGAATCCCTAACCCTCAGTGTGATTCAGAATGTGACTATATTTAGAGATAAGGCCTTTAAAGAGGTAATTCAGTTAAAATGGGATCACTAGGGTGGGCCCTAATTTAATATGGCAGATGTCCTTATAAGAAGATTAAGACAAACAAACAAAAAGAAGATTAGGATGCAGACAGGGCCACCTGGGTGGCTCAGTCGGTTAAGCGTCTGCCTTCGGCTCAGGTCATGATCCCAGGGTCCTGGGATCGAGCCCCGCATCAGGCTCCCTGCTCAGTGGGGAGCCTGCTTCTCCTGCTCCCCCTGCTTGTGCTTGCTCTCTCTATATATCAAATAAATAAATAAAAATCTTAAAAGAAAATAAGATTAGGACAGACAACACAGACCAAGGGATGACTAAGTTAGGACAAAGCAAGAAAGTGGCCATCTGCAAGCCAAGGAAATAGGCCTCAACCTCATCAGGAACTTCAGGTCCCTGATTTCTCCACTTTCTTGCTGTAAATCATCTCTTCCCTCTCCATCCGGTGTTGGCCTCACCTGCCAACACTTAGATCTCAGACTTCCAGCCTCCAGAACTGTGAAAAAATTAATTTCTGTTGTTTAAGCCACCCAGTCTGTGGTACTTGGTTGTGGTCCAAGCAGACTGATTTGTAGTGAGTATGTGTTGCAGGATGCCTTGGATCATGTGGTCTTATCTCCCTGATTGGGCTGTTGGTGGGAGGTAAAGGGGGGCACCTGACCCAGTTGATGCCTGGCTGCAGGCCTACCATCAAGCCATGGCAGGTAGGCTGAGTCATCAGAACCTCTGCTTTGTACGTGCACCCCAATATTTATAGCAGCAATGTCCACAATAGCCAAACTATGGAAAGAGCCAAGATGTCCATCGACAGCTGAATGGATAAAGAAGATGTGGTGTGTATAAATATACAATGGAATATTATGCAGCCATCACAAAAAAACCGAAATCTTGCCATTTGCAATGATGTGGATGGAACTAGAGGGTATTATGCTAAGCAAAATAAGTCAATCAGAGAAAGACAAGTATCATATGATCTCACTGATATGAGGAATTCTTAATCTCAGGAAACAAACTGAGGGTTGCTGGAGTGGTGGGGGTGGGAGGGATGGGGTGGCTGGGTGATAGACACTGGGGAGGGTATGTGCTATGGTGAGTGCTGTGAATTGTGTAAGACTGATGAATCACAGACCTGTAGCTCTGAAACAAATAATACATTATATGTTAAAAAAAAAAAGAAGAAGAAGAAGATAGTAGGAGGGGAAAAATGAAAGGGGGGAAATTGGAGGGGGAGATGAACCATGAAAGACTATGTACTCTGAGAAACAAACTGAGAGTTTTAGAGGGGAGGGGGGAGGGGGGGATGGGTTAGCCGGGTGATGGGTATTAAGGAGGGCATGTATTGAATGGAGCACTGGGTGTTATAGGCAAACAATGAATCATGGAACACTACGTCAAAAACTAATGATGTGGGGTGCCTGGGTGGCTCAGTCATTAAGCGTCTGCCTTTGGCTCAGGTCATGATCCCAGGGTCCTGGGATCAAGCCCCACAACAGGCTCCCTGCTCAGCGGGAAACCTGCTTCTCCCTCTCCCACTCACCCTACTTGTGTTCCCTCTCTCACTGTCTCTCTCTCTCTGGCAAATAAATAAAATCTTTAAAAAAAAAAAAAACTAATGATGCAATGTATGGTGAATAACATAACATAATAAAAAAAAAGAACCCCTACTTTGGGGATTTGATCCGAAAAACATGGACACTGGGAATCCCAATATATGTAGGGCTGGAATGGCCATTTGGGGGCCATGAGCAAGTTAATGAGATGGTAAAAGAAGGTGATCTGCAGAGAGAGGAGAAAACAGTAGTTAGAAGAAAAAGTGAGAAAACGGTACCTAAGATATGGAGAGAACAGCTCCAACTCCTAAAGACTTCAATCCCCACAGGGCTAGCTTAGTTTCTCATCTTTGGATTCAATAGGACCTCTCCATAACTTTATAATAACCTCTGGAGCAAGTACCCACTCCTCAGCTGGATGGAGAGGGAAGAGATGATTTACAGCAAAAAAGTGGAGAAATCAGGGACCTGAAGTTCCTGATGAGATTGAGGAACAGGAGGAGTGGGGTAACTGGGTGATAAGTCTTTCTTTCAAATCTGCCAGCTCTGAACATCTGTTAATGCATGTTGGCCCATGTGCTATTCCTTACAAAGGTAGCATTTTTTTATGGGACAAATCTTTTATTCCAAAAGAGGCAAATCAGAGAGATATTTTGGAATAAAGAAGTCTCTGGTCTCGAAATCAGGCCAAGTAGACCACTGTCCTTCCTTTTTTTGTGTATGTAGCATTCATCTTGTCTGCACTTCCTGGGACCAATAAGCCACTTTCTAGGGAGTCTCTCTGGGTCTCTGGGTCCTCTCAGTAACCACAGAGAGATCGCCATCCTACACAGCTGTTGCTTACATGGAAAGGGCTGCAGCATTACCAGGGAGAAACCCAGCAGTATGGCTCCTGTCAAATGTACAGGGGGGCCTGGTGGTTGGTTCACACCCTCTAGTCGAGGTCTTGGGGTGATGTGCCATCCCCAGACCCTTGACATGGGTGACTGTGTCAGTTTCTCTCATGCATTAACACCTTGTGCTTTATGTTTTATAGCTAGTTAAATACAACCTTGTCAAGTAACCAGATTTCAAGCTTCTTGAAGACAAGACAACTCTGACTGTCGCTGTGGTGCCTTTGGTGAGCTCATAGGACTTTGCTTGGAGCATGTGCTCCATAAATATTCGTTGGCATAAAATGGAATACCCCCATTCCCCACCATTGGCCAGAGAATACGGTTGTCTGACTCCTTACTGGGAACACGACAGTTGTCAGGACATCAGTCTCTTCTCTTTAGTTTTTTCCCTCGCCTCTGTTCAATGCATTCCTCTCGGGTTTGGAAGAGATAGTGGCACCCACAATTTGTTTATCTGCTCTGAAACATGAAGGTACTTTGTGGTTATGAGGCAGTAACTTTGCCATTGTTTTTATTGGAAATAGTGACAAGAAGGCAGTGATTAACTCTCATTGCTGCCCCGGGACTTCATGATCGATGGTATGGCCGCTTTTCCTGTCACTATCAAGTGTTGCTTGGCCTCTCACTGTGGGAATTATGGGAGGAGGAGGGTGAGGAGGGGCACGTCCGAGGCTACCTGGATTTATCAATCTGGTTCTCCAGCAGGAAGAGATTCAGGTTGCATGATCAGCCAGAGACTATTTCCCCCGTGGCTCCTGCCATGTTCAGGTGGCTTCTAAATGTCAATATGGGATCTGGGGAAGGTGCAGTGAGCCACAGAGGCATGCCGTAATAGGATGTTGGCTGATTGGTGACGCTGAACTTCCGCTTGGGAAAAAGATTAGCTATAGAAAATGCAATTACCTTTGGGTCCCCTAGTTCTGCAAATTTGTATAAAAACTGGGCTGGTTTGTCTTCATGATAGCTATGAAGGAAAGGTTTGCTAGCAAAACAAATAGCTGAAACAAAATTGCAGGTGGCATGTTCAGACATTTTAGGGAATCATTTTTCAAGCCCTTTAGCAAAGACTATATGTAAATCAACAATCAGTTGGAATATTTACTTATTAAAGCAGTTGGTTTTCAACTTTCTTTTGTTTTAGACAGGGAAATTTTTAAAGTCTTAGATAAAGCAGAAGAAAGGGGAGTTCTTCGAGGTGAAGGCGGGCCATGGGACCCTGCAAGCTCAGATGTCCTCTTCCACCTTATCCCTCTTTCACAGCCAGGGTTGGCCCCTCAAGCACCTCTGCAGAGACCTGGGATGCCAGGAAGACCAGTTTAAAAGCCAGCAATTCAAAAGGTAAGACCTACATTTGGAGCTGTTTGATAAGCAGTTAGAGGTACTGTGCATACTTTTCAGAAACAAGATTGTGTCTAAACAAAGCATTCTCTAACCACAGCTTTTCTCTCACCAGAGACTTGTTCTTGTTCAAATCATCTTTTGCTATTAGCCTGAACAATTGTTTGGAGTTCCTCAAATAAAACAGGTACGGAGGAGAGATGGGGGACAGAATAAGACGCTGGGCTGCAAGTGATTGCGGGTTCTTGGAAGAGCAGCAAAGTGAAGGATGGGGTTGCTTGGGTCTATGTCCATGACAGGAAAGGAGGCAGGAAGGGAACAGGGCAGAGTTAAGAGATTTAGAATGGTTATTCCCAGGAGCCAACATGAATACATTTTCAAATACACTCGGCCCACTGGGAGTATGGAGCAATGTCACCAGGAAAGGCAGCTTCCAGCATGCGTATGCCATATGTCCTGGAGGCTGTCCAGATTATATGGCCCCAGAGCCAGTGACTGAAGCCCAGCAAGGAAGTGCCTGAGGTCAAGGAGCGATAGCTCAGCAATCCCCATGCTTGGATTAGCCCCCTAAGCCAAAGTACCGGACAGCAAAGCCCAGGGTCCTTGGTCTGGTTGTTGTGATCCTGGTTGACAAATCAGAAGGCCACTGTGAGGGGCAGCCTGACCAGCATTCCCAAGCATCTGTCTGTGGCCAAAGTCCCCAGACCCTCTGAAGACGGCTGACCCTTCCATCCTCACAACACCATGTGGCCGCCATAATTTTCCACTGATCTATCCTGGAAGATTAGTGGATTGAGTGTCCAAGGATGCTTCGGGGTTTGTATTATTCAACTAATTCTCTCTGTGTTGCTGTGTCCACTCGTCAAGAGCAGGGCATATGCTTTATTCCTTCTGTTTTTCCAGGAAACTTTATATTGGATATTCAATATGTGTTTGAGGATGAATGGAAGAGAGGCTGAGAAGTGGGTAGAGACAGCGGTCTCTATGATCCCAGTCTTTAAGCTGTGATCAACCTGTGGGCCACCTTCAGTACGAACTTGCCCAGCAAGTTGTACTGGCAGCCCCCATCCACCTCAATCTTTGAGCCCACTCTGCTGCTTTGAACAACTCCTGCCCCCATCACAAAGTAAGGCAGCAGCAAGCTTTCAAGATTCCTTTGCTGCAAAGATGCATCTCTCCATCATTTTCTTTCTAAAAATCAGAAATTTTTAATGTATACCAAAATAGAATAGTATGCTGAAATCTCATGGACCCATTACTCAGACATCAACATTTATCAATATTTTGCTAATCTTGTTTCACCTATATCCACTTTTTTCTAAGGTAGTTCAAAGCAACACACACACACACACAAGCACTTTTGCTTTTTAATGTATCCCTAGTATATTATCACCAACCCAGAGTATCTAATAACCTGTCTTTGTTCAAATTTTCCAGAGTCTCTCCAAAAACTTTTACAATTGGTTTGTTTTTAAGTAATCTCTACACCTAATGTGAGGCTCCAACCCACATCCTGGAGATCAAGAGTCGCATGCTCTACTGACTGAGCCAGCCAGGTGCCCCTCGTTTTTCTTAAACTTAGTATCCTTTTCTTGAATCACAGTTTGACCCCACTTGTAAGTTCTTACCACTGGCTTTAGGTATTAGCCCCGAGTCATCGGGAACCACGGAGCACACCCAGCAGATGAACCCTCTGGAGATCAGCAGGTGTTAACAGGGGAGACTATTCCTGAAGTTTCATTTATTGTCCACATTTATTGTTATACCCTACTGTTGATTTTTAACCTCTCCAACCATGATGAAGTTCTGCTTGGAATGGAATGGTGCATGGCGTCGAAACAAGTGCTTGTGTTACACACTCATTCTCAGAGCCCAAGGGAGTCAGGCATGTTCTTAATAACAAAACAACCATGGTCACAGATGTAAGCTATTGATAGCAATAAACAACTTGTAACTTTGCATGCATCAGTTAACAAAAGTCCCACTAACGTCTAAACAAGCTTGCATAAATTAACAATTACTATCTGCCGTGATACTTTATTACTGTCCTGGAGCTCACAACTATAGTTTTAGGAACTAGATCCAAAAATGTCCTTCATCCTGCAAAGACTTTTGTTGGTGTCTCCAGAAATTCAGGCAGATACTTGAGGACTGTCGTATCTCAAAACATAATGCTTCTGCAACCACAAAGAACAAGGCAAATGTGAGATTAACCCAGACTCTGCCTGTATTCTTTCTTTCCTACCTAGGAACCAGGGAGGTCATTTTCATTTGTTAGGGAAAGGTAACCCACCACTCAAATTAAATGGATGCAGTTCTCACCATCAGGGACCTAGAATCCACATGTAGCCTCAAATAGTCTATTGTGCAAATGTGTCTTATGGAGACATGATCCATTTTCAAGGAGATGGGATCCCTCCTCTGGGTGAACTTTTGAGTTCTATGAAGATTTCCTTGGGAATCTGGAGCCACCAAGGGAATGGGTCTGTCAGGTCCTGGAAGGAAATATTTGCCAATCACACCCAGGTTAGATTATCTCCGCAGAAGAAACTAGGGGCGTTTATTGTACTCATAGAGTCCTACCTAATTTGGACCTTGAACTTTGTTTTGGTCGAGCGCATTCTCGGGCCTGCACTGGGAGGTTGAATCCAGAGCAGACTTCTGGAGGAGAGCCACACTATCACAATCAGCTGATGAATCCCCAAGCGGGTTTTCAGGGCCCTCCTCCAGGACCGGAGGCAAGTTATCTTTGTGTCTCTGTTTTTCCACCATCACAGGGGAAACAGCAGCCGACTTCGGAGGGAAAAAAATGATTGGAAAAGCAAAGTGACAGTGTTTACCAACACATTACTCACAGTTCCGTGAGCCTTGGGGCTCCCATCCGCCGTGGAGGAAAGTTTGATTTACCTTGCCATGATAGGAAAACACTCACCCCCGTGACTTCACCGGCTCCCCACCTTGCAGACCACATCAGACTGCGCTGGTGGGAAGTTGCAAGGGGAGGCGGCTGTGCACAGGGAACACATGTCTTTGTGAGAGAGGGAGGCTGTCCTGGGCAGTGGCTAACGGGCCTGCTCAGTGGAATTTTTCTCCCTTTTTAACCAGACTGAGCCTTGCTCCCTTCTGGCAGGCAGACAGGCCTACTCTTCCAAGTACACAGGGAAGTTCTGTTTTGACAAGCACACACATTCTTTTTCAGAAAGCCACAGAGGCGAACGCCTTTGTTGCAGACAGACCAACTCCCTTCCAGTGCAGGAGGTGAAACCCTTTCATGAGCCACATAATGGGAGCAGCCGTGGTGCTGGCCGACTCAGTCCCCGAAAAGTACATAACTTCCATTATGTGGCTTCCACATACGGAATGTACTTCCCCTCTCGAATCCAAACGCTGGCAGGGCTCTTTGTCCGGCACTGGGACTGGCAGGGAGCAGGGGCTGGCAGGAGTCATGAGGCATTTTTCTGTGGGCTTTGGCTTCCTGGCCAGTTGAACACAGTCCAATTATTGTCCCAAGGTTCTGCCAGATAAAACAAGGAGAGAGCTTTTCTAGATGCCTGGTGACTATAAGATGGAGGAGGGAAGGCGAGTGCTGAATGGGGGGTGGGGTGTCCAAGTTCCAGCAAAGGCCGTGGCTCAGGAGACCCCTCCCCAGGCAGGGGCTCTGACTCTGCCCTCTGGAATGTGCGGTGGCCTCCAGAGACCCTGCCCGTCAGGCGAATGCCTGGTACTCTGGCCTTTCTCACCCTGGCATGGGGCTCCAATCTTAGCACCCTTTGTGACACAAAATCAAATTCCCTGGAACATGGGGTTAGCATTTTCAGCAAACTAATCCCATTGGTGATATTTAGTATTCTGAGCAGAGTGGGCCATACCCACAAGCAGTCTAGAAAGTTGCTACCTTGAGATGGCATCATGAAGGCTGTAAGACGGGCGCCTGGGTGGCTCAGACAGTTGAGTGGCTGCCTTCAGCTCAGGTCATCCTGGGATGGAGCCCTGCATCAGGCTCCCTGTTCAGCGGGGAGTCTGCTTCTCCCTCTGCCCCTCCCCCCACTCATTCTCTCTCTCTAATAAATAAATAAATAAATAATCTTTAAAAAAAATGCTGTAAGATACTGTCCGCTTCCAAAGTACCTCCCTGACCTGCCCCCTCACTGTGCTTGAACTTCCTACAGTTGGAGGCACTAACTGGGAGTCACTAAAGGATCACCTCCAGAAAGTTCTATTTAAAATGCACATATTAAAAAATAAAATAAAATGCACATATTAAATTAATCGTGCCCTAATTAAAATGCAAATTATAAAATATATGTAGGCTTACCTCTCCTGGGGTTCTAGTGGCTACTCCCCATCTCTCCTTCCTAAGGAATGGCTGCATCTTTTTGACACAGGAGGCTAAGGACGAGTGTCTGCTCTGGGATCTCCTCTTCTCCTATTGTCCAGTTCCATATTCATCTCACTTCCTTCAACAGTCCATGAAGAGCTTCCTTCCACATTGGTCTAAACAAACCCACATCGGATTGACCATTTTCTAGTGTCTCGGCTGAGGTGCTAAATGCAGAAGTTGTTCGATATCCAGTATTCAAAGTAGAGAGACCTTCCATCTTGGTTACAATTCAGCAACTCTATTTCTGCTGCTCTGTTATTTTGGCACCTCTGTGCAATTGCATAGATCTGTGAAATGCTGAAAACTCAGGAGGAGCTCATGTCCCCTGAAATATAAGGACTCTGTGATATTGCATCCTGCAAAATGTCTTTGAAGGCCTCTTATCAAGTGCCTGTCCTCAGCCCTGCAGAGGTGGGGAGGTGCAAGAGGGTGGGACCTCCTTGATGATGGGCAGGACAAGAGATGTCATCCAGGCTGCTCATTGCCAAACAGATTCTGATAACCCAAGACCCTTTCCCCTGTGGTCACTTCAGGTCTCCTGCTATCAAATGCCCATCTGACTCTGGCACTTGTCCTCTGACCACAAAGTATGCCTTTGCCAATGCTTGATGTTTAATTATTTCAACTTAATTAAGTCTAGGTCACTCATATTGTCTTGCTTTCTCCCAGTTTTTTCAAACCCAACCTGAAGAGGATTGGAGACCCAGGGCTTAGGATCAAGGCGGGGAGGAAAATCCAGGCTTCAAAGCTATTCTTACTGCTAGATAAATGCGCAAATAAATAAATAAAACACTCCATATTGGAAAGCTTAGCATTTTCTGTTGATTTCTGCCTTTATTTTTTTTAAATGAAGAATGGGTAGGGAAGGGAGAACAATGAGGGGCAGCAGAGGAAAGGGACAAGAAGGAAAGCAGTGCCAGGTTAGACCAGAGCTGCTGGAACTCAGGGTCTGGCAGGAGCAGAGCTGGGTGTCTCCCGCATTGGCCAGAGTGTAGCCAACCCTTCTGAGCCCTGGTGGACCACACTGGCAGCTCCAGCCAGTTTCACCCCTGAGGCCAGGCCGAAGATGCCCTCAGGGACTGACCAAGTTCAAGGTGAAGCTCCTTAGCATGGTCACAAGTCCCAAAGGCAGGAGCAGGGACCAAAATGGCAGATAGAGACAAGGGAGTAGAAATAAGACAAGAAGAATCCTGGCAATGGACATTCTGGGCAGATTCTGGGAAGCTTCTCTTTATCATTTGTTAGTTAGCATATAGATGGTAAGATGTTGGAACAGACAGTTGGGTTAGAGGAAGGGAAAAAACAAACATATTCTCTTAGAGCTGTACACAGACGAGGGTTTCGGGTAGTGCTTTTTGAATGAATTAATATTTGAAGAAATATCTTTAGCCCTTTGCAGCTTCAGGTGTGTGTATGCCACTGTCTTCTGTAGCCCTAACATGATTCCGTGGCCCAGACCCATCCCCGAGCCAGATAAAGATAGTGGTTGTGAATGTGACAGGAAATCACCCACAGGCCCACATGCTACATCTGGGGTGCCCATGGTGGGGGTTAAGGGCTATTCCCCTAACCAGGCTCTTTCTTGCTCCTCCTCTGCCTTGTTTCCAGACCTCACTCATTTATTCAGTAAATGATTATGAAACAATTACTCTATGCCTTGTGCCATGCTAGGCATGAGCTACATAGTGGTGAACAAGACAGAATTGGTCTCTATCCTCATAGACCTTAGAGTCTGGTGGAAATTTCAGATAGTAAGGAGGCAAACAAACATAATCTATACCTACATATTCACATGTATTCATGGAAGACTACAATGGCACTGCTCTGTTTTTATTACAATCATTTGGTTACATTCATCTGAGGCTGTATATGCTTAAATCCACGGATTCAAATTCAAAGATGTGGAGAGACCCTCACTATCAGGAACTGATCACAAAGTGACACATCCCTGGATTCGTTCCACTCCAATCTCGCTTTCATCTCCCTGTACAGCATTATTCATATAAACAAACAAACAAATAAAAGGGCACTTCAGGAAAGTATGCCCAAATCCCATAGTTGCCCACCTCCCCAAAGTTAACTCATTCCTTGGGTCAAATGCCTCTTTCTTATGTTTCATAATTCCTTACTTTTGTATCAGTTATCCATGGTCATGATAAGGCTGCATAACAGACAGTCTCAAAATCCAAAATAATAAGCTTCTATTTAGTTTATGGGTCTATGTGCTGGCAATTTAGGTTGAATTGGCCAAGTAGCTCTGGTCTCAGAACTCACTCACATATCTGATAATTGTCTGACTATAGGCCATCTTGGCTGGAATGACTGATGATTCAGCTCTGCTCCCATGTTTGGGTCCCATTCTCATGCAGGCTAGCTGGGGCATGTTGTCATGGTGGTGACAGAAGACAAGAACAAAAATGCAAATGGAAACATGTAAGTGCTCTTTCAAGCATCTGCTTGTGTCTCTCTCATCTACTAACATCCCTTTGGATAAAACAAGTCCACATGGTGGGTGCAGAGAGAGTAGGAGGTCATCAGAAGGTGTGAAGAACTGAGGTCATTGATGTGATCACTCTACCACATCTACCATCTTTTTTTTGCTTTCTGGGTGAATTAAGAGAATTCATCAATGATTAAGAAGTTTGCTTGATTTAATATTAGAGCATCACTGACAATTTTTGTCTTTATATTTTTAAAATGTAAAACAATAAAATTTACCTTTTTGGTGTATATAATTCTATGATTTTTAATGCTTGCAGACTTGTATAATGACAAATAAGATAGAGAACAGTTCCATCACCTCCCAGAATTTCCTCAGGTCACTGATATTCTGAGAGCTCATGTCTGGATTCAACTTCTCAAACAAAACTGGTGGATTTGTATGAAGAAAGTTAAAGCTTTAGCAATACCTCTTGGGTATTTTGTAGCTACAACTTGAGGTGTCACTAAGGAAAATAAATTAGTCAAAAGAGTCAGCCATCAGATGGAATGCCTTGTGAAGACCTTGGTAATAAGAAATTTAAAAAGCTTCAAGCCAGAGGTATCTGAACTTGAAGAGACTCATACCTCACCGTTATACAAAAAACTAAATCCCTGAGGGGTTTGAGTGCATTTTCAAAGTGGGGAGACAGCAGGGAAAGAGAGAGAGAACAAGAACCCACACCTCTTGTTTAGTCTAGTGTTCTTTCTCTTGCTCAAAGCTTCTCTTGTTTGCCTCTCACCTCCACTATAAGATTCATCTCTGCCCTTTGACTTCATTTTCCTACCAACTCTGGCCCAGTGAGAATGGACTGGTCTGTCAGTGTCCATTGTCTTAATTCTTCTTGTAGAACTGAAGGCATTGTTTTTCTCCATGAGAGCCTATTTGGTGCTAACCGATTTGAGGTGCCTCCCCTAGGGTTGCAGAGGGAGCAAGGTTTTAGTTCCTGGAAAATTTAATACACAGTTTGATCTTTGCTACTCTACTGGACCCCTGAGTTCCCTTTCCTTATCTCATAGCTCTCTCAGCTGCCAGGGAATTTGATCTGGAGTTGTCTTATCAGTCCTAGGGCAACAAGCAGGTGATGAATGAGGGGCTGGGGAGGCAGCTGTCTCTTCTTCGAGGCCACTGACATTTTTGAAAAGGACCATGTGCATTGGTGGTTGCTAGAAATGGAGGTAAAACTCACTCCCACACTTCTTAGTCTAAGGTCTGTAGTATTCTTTTGTCTCTTTGCCCTCCAACTAATTTAGAGGTGACTCTTTCTTCTTAAGGGTTCTTGGCATTCATGGGGCTTTGCAGTGGCCTGGTCATTGTGGCTCTCTTTCCAGAGGACAGAATTTCCCTGGCATGACCTTGATTGATCTTAAAACACTAGCTCGCACTTACAGATAATGTTCAGAGTCTCGAACTGAGTGTGAAATGGTGCAGCAGGTGGATTATTCAACCTTCCCGAAGAGAAGCCCAGCTGGTACCATGATGGTGTGGCCCCAGGGAACCCGGCTAGGTGTTGAGCTTCAGATGTGAGATTGAAGAATCAAGGAGAAGCTAGTGAGTCATGGCATCTGACCCACTTAAACCCGTTATGCTCTTTTCAAGAATCTGATATGTCCTTTGAGAGGAACCGCCTGTGAGTTGTACCTCTTCTGCCCTTTATTTCTGCTGGAATAAAAATGTAAGCAGGGAGGATGGACATCCAGACCCAGCTGGACAAAGCCCTTATGAAGAAGGGCTTTTTATAGGCCACTGTTGCAGCCATGTCCTAAATAGAAATGTATCCAGCCCGCCTCGCTGACAATTCAGCATTCCTGTGCCTTGGGGGTATGATGTCACAAAACAAGTCAACCATCATTTAGGGGAGTCATTTCAAGGTTTCCCATCTCTGCTCTCCAGCTCACTTTCCCTCTGCTCCTGTCACCAGGATGTCACCACCCAAATTAGTGAAAGGCCCCAACCCAAGCAAGCATCAGCTGGATTGTCAGCCCAGTGAATGGCCCACCCTGGGGACCTGCTGTTATAGCCCTGCCTCAGCTGTCACCTTCCTGTGGCCTTTCCACTTTTCCTCAGCATGAAGAGCTGCCAAAAACAGCAGTCAGCTTCTCCCTGAGGAAGAAGAAGCTGTGTGCAAGGTCAGGTAAACCCAGGGCCTAAGAAAGCTTTCCCCTCCCCCACCCCACTTACATTGTGTCTTATCCTCACTCCAAGCTAAGGACCTCTAAATCCAGCCACAATACTAACCCTGGAATGGCAGGAAAATGTTCAACCCAGAAACCACATCCTCTGTAGTGCCACAGCCAGCACCAGCAAAGGACATGAAGTTAAATCGAAATGGAATTTGAATGACAAAGTGACATGATGTCCATCTCCCTAATGGTGGGACAAGTTGGTCTTCCATCACTGGCAAGGCAAAAACTGCAAGGCCCAGATCTGTGTGTAAAGGCTATTTTGCATGGTTTTAAGTCACCAGCTCAGCTCAATATCTAAAACAAAGAGAATGAATTATGGAACAGGACGAAGGGAGCTTGTTAATTTTCCCACTGATGCACTGTGAAATAAGAGCTTTATTCTAAGAATGGTATATCCTCAGGGCTCTCTCTGGAGAGACGCTGACAAATCCAAATGTCCTTACTGTTTCCTTTGCCCCCTGCTCTATGACTTTTCTATACACATTTACAAAATATGTATATTTCATGGCATGTCTTTATCTATAGGACTCAGCGAGTTCAAATCTGTGATTCTCTCTAGGGCTTCTTTGACAATAAAGAGTGCTCGGGTGATGTTATTGATGAACACACACACACACACACACACAAACACGCACACATATTTGATTGTGTACAGCCTGTCCGTATATATTACAGAAATGTCCTTGCAGCCTGCTAGCTATTGTCCATACTAGTGAGCTATAGCCCATCTCCAATTGAAACCCAATGAAATAATCATGATAATTTTGCCTTCGTGTATCACCTTTCATCAGGGAGGATGAAAGGGCTTCACAAACTCTGGGTTCCTCTTTGATCCAGGGCTACTATCTGGTGTACCAATCTCCACTGTGTATTCTGCCCTCGCCCCGCAGATGGGCCTCCCATTGACAGTAATTGAACCTCCATATGCAGAGCACCAGCCTGGCCCGAGAGCCTCCTGTCAGCTGCCAGGAAGGGGAGGGCTGCTTCCAGAAGGGCTGCGGGTACTATTCCACATTTGCAACAGGGCGAGGATTATAAACAGGGGAAAGGAGGAAAGGAATTCTCAAGCTGCAACTTTAGTTTTGAGACAGAGGTGCTTCGTGGCAGGTGGAAGAGCATTCTAGGCAGTGAT